TGATAGTGTCTCTGGTAGGAGGACAGACAGTGTGTGATAGTGTCTCTGGTAGGAGGACAGACAGTGTGTGATAGTGTCTCTGGTAGGAGGACATTATGTGATAGTGTCTCTGGTAGGAGGACAGACAGTGTGTAATAGTGTCTCTGGTAGGAGGACAGACAGTGTGTGATAGTGTCTCTGGTAGGAGGACAGACAGTGTGTGATAGTGTCTCTGGTAGGAGGACATTATGTAATAGTGTCTCTGGTAGGAGGACAGACAGTGTGTGATAGTGTCTCTGGTAGGAGGACAGACAGTGTGTGATAGTGTCTCTGGTAGGAGGACAGACAGTGTGTGATAGTGTCTCTGGTAGGAGGACAGACAGTGTGTGATAGTGTCTCTGGTAGGAGGACAGACAGTGTGTGATAGTGTCTCTGGTAGGAGGACATTATGTGATAGTGTCTCTGGTAGGAGGACAGACAGTGTGTAATAGTGTCTCTGGTAGGAGGACAGACAGTGTGTGATAGTGTCTCTGGTAGGAGGACAGACAGTGTTTGATAGTGTCTCTGGTAGGAGGACATTATGTAATAGTGTCTCTGGTAGGAGGACAGACAGTGTGTGATAGTGTCTCTGGTAGGAGGACAGACAGTGTGTGATAGTGTCTCTGGTAGGAGGACAGACAGTGTGTGATAGTGTCTCTGGTAGGAGGACATTATGTAATAGTGTCCTCTGGTAGGAGGACAGACAGTGTGAGATAGTGTCTCTGGTAGGAGGACAGACAGTGTGTGATAGTGTCTCTGGTAGGAGGACATTATGTGATAGTGTCTCTGGTAGGAGGACAGACAGTGTGTGATAGTGTCTCTGGTAGGAGGACATTATGTGATAGTGTCTCTGGTAGGAGGACATTATGTGATAGTGTCTCTGGTAGGAGGACATTATGTGATAGTGTCTCTGGTAGGAGGACAGACAGTGTGTGATAGTGTCTCTGGTAGGAGGACATTATGTGATAGTGTCTCTGGTAGGAGGACATTATGTGATAGTGTCTCTGGTAGGAGGACATTATGTGATAGTGTCTCTGGTAGGAGGACAGACAGTGTGTGATAGTGTCTCTGGTAGGAGGACACACAGTGTGTAATAGTGTCTCTGGTAGGAGGACATTATGTAATAGTGTCTCTGGTAGGAGGACAGAGAGTGTGTGATAGTGTCTCTGGTAGGAGGACAGACAGTGTGTAATAGTGTCTCTGCTAGGAGGACATTATGTAATAGTGTCTCTGGTAGGAGGACAGACAGTGTGTGATAGTGTCTCTGGTAGGAGGACATTATGTGATAGTGTCTCTGGTAGGAGGACATTATGTGATAGTGTCTCTGGTAGGAGGACATTATGTAATAGTGTCTCTGGTAGGAGGACATTATGTGATAGTGTCTCTGGTAGGAGGACAGACAGTGTGTGATAGTGTCTCTGGTAGGAGGACATTATGTGATAGTGTCTCTGGTAGGAGGACATTATGTGATAGTGTCTCTGGTAGGAGGACAGACATTATGTAATAGTGTCTCTGGTAGGAGGACAGACAGTGTGTGATAGTGTCTCTGGTAGGAGGACAGACAGTGTGTGATAGTGTCTCTGGTAGGAGGACAGACAGTGTGTGATAGTGTCTCTGGTAGGAGGACATTATGTAATAGTGTCTCTGGTAGGAGGACATTATGTGATAGTGTCTCTGGTAGGAGGACATTATGTAATAGTGTCTCTGGTAGGAGGACATTATGTAATAGTGTCTCTGGTAGGAGGACAGACAGTGTGTGATAGTGTCTCTGGTAGGAGGACATTATGTAATAGTGTCTCTGGTAGGAGGACAGACAGTGTGTGATAGTGTCTCTGGTAGGAGGACATTATGTGATAGTGTCTCTGGTAGGAGGACATTATGTAATAGTGTCTCTGGTAGGAGGACATTATGTGATAGTGTCTCTGGTAGGAGGACATTATGTGATAGTGTCTCTGGTAGGAGGACAGACAGTGTGTGATAGTGTCTCTGGTAGGAGGACATTATGTGATAGTGTCTCTGGTAGGAGGACATTATGTGATAGTGTCTCTGGTAGGAGGACATTATGTGATAGTGTCTCTGGTAGGAGGACATTATGTGATAGTGTCTCTGGTAGGAGGACATTATGTAATAGTGTCTCTGGTAGGAGGACATTATGTGATAGTGTCTCTGGTAGGAGGACATTATGTAATAGTGTCTCTGGTAGGAGGACAGACAGTGTGTGATAGTGTCTCTGGTAGGAGGACATTATGTAATAGTGTCTCTGGTAGGAGGACAGACAGTGTGTGATAGTGTCTCTGGTAGGACGACATTATGTGATAGTGTCTCTGGTAGGAGGACATTATGTAATAGTGTCTCTGGTAGGAGGACATTATGTGATAGTGTCTCTGGTAGGAGGACATTATGTGATAGTGTCTCTGGTAGGAGGACATTATGTGATAGTGTCTCTGGTAGGAGGACATTATGTGATAGTGTCTCTGGTAGGAGGACAGACAGTGTGTGATAGTTTCTCTGGTAGGAGGACAGACAGTGTGTAATAGTGTCTCTGGTAGGAGGACATTATGTGATAGTGTCTCTGGTAGGAGGACATTATGTGATAGTGTCTCTGGTAGGAGGACATTATGTGATAGTGTCTCTGGTAGGAGGACATTATGTAATAGTGTCTCTGGTAGGAGGACACACAGTGTGTGATAGTGTCTCTGGTAGGAGGACATTATGTGATAGTGTCTCTGGTAGGAGGACATTATGTGATAGTGTCTCTGGTAGGAGGACATTATGTAATAGTGTCTCTGGTAGGAGGACACACAGTGTGTGTTAGTGTCTCTGGTAGGAGGACAGACATTGTGTGATAGTGTCTCTGGTAGGAGGACATTATGTGATAGTGTCTCTGGTAGGAGGACAGACAGTGTGTGATAGTGTCTCTGGTAGGAGGACAGACAGTGTGTGATAGTGTCTCTGGTAGGAGGACAGACAGTGTGTGATAGTGTCTCTGGTAGGAGGACATTATGCGATAGTGTCTCTGGTAGGAGGACATTATGTGATAGTGTCTCTGGTAGGAGGACACACAGTGTGTGATAGTGTCTCTGGTAGGAGGACATTATGCGATAGTGTCTCTGGTAGGAGTACATTATGTGATAGTGTCTCTGGTAGGAGGACATTATGCGATAGTGTCTCTGGTAGGAGGACAGACAGTGTGTGATAGTGTCTCTGGTAGGAGGACATTATGTGATAGTGTCTCTGGTAGGAGGACATTATGTGATAGTGTCTCTGGTAGGAGGACAGACAGTGTGTAATAGTGTCTCTGGTAGGAGGACAGACATTATGTGATAGTGTCTCTGGTAGGAGGACATTATGTGATAGTGTCTCTGGTAGGAGGACACACAGTGTGTGATAGTGTCTCTGGTAGGAGGACATTATGTGATAGTGTCTCTGGTAGGAGGACATTATGTGATAGTGTCTCTGGTAGGAGGACAGACAGTGTGTGATAGTGTCTCTGGTAGGAGGACATTATGTGATAGTGTCTCTGGTAGGAGGACAGACAGTGTGTGATAGTGTCTCTGGTAGGACGACATTATGTAATAGTGTCTCTGGTAGGAAGACAGACATTATGTGATAGTGTCTCTGGTAGGAGGACAGACAGTGTGTGATAGTGTCTCTGGTAGGAGGACATTATGTGATAGTGTCTCTGGTAGGAGGACAGACATTATGTGATAGTGTCTCTGGTAGGAGGACAGACAGTGTGTGATAGTGTCTCTGGTAGGAGGACATTATGTGATAGTGTCTCTGGTAGGAGGACAGACATTATGTGATAGTGTCTCTGGTAGGAGGACATTATGTGATAGTGTCTCTGGTAGGAGGACAGACATTATGTGATAGTGTCTCTAGTAGGAGGACAGACATTATGTGATAGTGTCTCTGGTAGGAGGACAGACAGTGTGTGATAGTGTCTCTGGTAGGAGGACATTATGTGATAGTGTCTCTGGTAGGAGGACAGACAGTGTGTGATAGTGTCTCTGGTAGGAGGACAGACAGTGTGTGATAGTGTCTCTGGTAGGAGGACAGACAGTGTGTGATAGTGTCTCTGGTAGGAGGACATTATGTGATAGTGTCTCTGGTAGGAGGACAGACAGTGTGTGATAGTGTCTCTGGTAGGAGGACAGACAGTGTGTGATAGTGTCTCTGGTAGGAGGACAGACATTATGTGATAGTGTCTCTGGTAGGAGGACATTATGTGATAGTGTCTCTGGTAGGAGGACAGACATTATGTGATAGTGTCTCTGGTAGGAGGACAGACAGTGTGTGATAGTGTCTCTGGTAGGAGGACATTATGTGATAGTGTCTCTGGTAGGAGGACAGACAGTGTGTGATAGTGTCTCTGGTAGGAGGACAGACAGTGTGTGATAGTGTCTCTGGTAGGAGGACATTATGTGATAGTGTCTCTGGTAGGAGGACATTATGTGATAGTGTCTCTGGTAGGAGGACATTATGTGATAGTGTCTCTGGTAGTAATAGTGAGCAAAGAGACGCTTCCTGTCTCTGATTTTCTTGAAGCTGAAACCGATCGCGTGGTTTCTGGTTTCCTTCATCTTTTCACAATAAACTGACACTCGCTGAAACGGGGGGGGGGGCGCTTCCTGAAGACACACACTCACACTGAAACCCTGAACACACACACACACACACACACACACACACATTAATAACATATTAATATCAGAGACACTATTGTATGTATTAATGAATATATATTTTATATAATTCTGAGGGAGGACTGAGGGGGACTGAGGGACTGAGGGGGACTGAGGAACAGAGGGTCAGACTTCTGTCCACAGTTTCGCTTCTGATACCTGACTGGTTCTATGGCTTTTACTGAGAATGTAGTGGAACCATGGGTACCTGGGGGGTCACAGCAGGGGGGGGGGGGTGAGGAGTCACAGCAGGGGTGAGGAGGGTGAGGAGGGTGAGGAGTCACACAGGAGGTGAAAAGTAATTTCCGACTTTCTCAGAACTTTTGATTTTGTTTGATGACCTCAGAGTTTCAGTTTCTGTCCAGATGGAGCGTTATTTAAACCAGAACAGATCCTTCAGGACCACAACCAGACCAGATCCTTCAGAACCAGATCCTTCAGGACCACAACCAGACCAGATCCTTCAGAACCAGATCCTTCAGGACCACAACCAGACCAGATCCTTCAGAACCGGATCCCCCTGAACCGGATCCCCCTGAACCAGATCCTTCAGAACCAGATCCTTCAGAACCAGATCCTTCAGAACCAGATCCTTCAGAACCAGAAGGTGAGTCGGTTCTAAATAATAACCATTGCTTTAAACTCAGATTCATGTAAAGCTCTGAAAGTCAAGATAAGAAAGTGAAATATAATTCACTAATCTTCCATCAGCTCTGAAAGTAAGAAACGGATCATAATAATAATGATATTAATATGAATTTGAATTATTATATATTTGATGTGAAGATATTATTCTCCGTGTCGGATTAGAAACAGCTTTAGGGGTTATTTAATTGATGTTTTATTTATAATATATATTTATAAAACACATTTAATATTATCTATAATGTTAAAATATCCTCACTAACTCTCTACATTAAAGCATGAGTAATAATACTCTATATTAAATATACCACTACCACGCTCACTATACTTTATACCTTTAGAATCAAGTACAAATAAAGTAGTGAAAAGCAACTATATATATATATATATATATATATATATATATACACAGAGTACTCTCTAATATATTATGATAAATGCACTGTGTAATAGGCAAGGCAAGTTTATTTATACAGCACCTTTCCGTACGCGACAATTCAAAGTGCTTTACAAAATCAAATAAAAGACATTTAAGAATAAATACAGTAAAAGCACATTATATAATGGCATTAGACTTTCTAGAACTCATTCTCTATGACTTCTACTGGTTTGTCATTAAACAGGCGTTAAAAGGCAAAGAGAATGAGATGAACACAACAGGTATACAATACAAAGTGCAGTGTGAGTACGAGCAGCTCAATTAAAAGCAGCGGCAAAAATATATGTTTTCAGTCTGGATTTGAAAATAGTACGAGTTCCTGCAGAAGTGCACGATTCAGTTTGTTCCAGACGGTCGGGGCATAACAGCTAAACGCTGCTTTTCCATGTTTTGTTCTCACTCTCGGAACCGAGAGCAGACCCGTTCCAGAAGACCTGAGACACCTTGATGGTTCATAGTTCTGGAGGAGATCGTTGATATACTTTGGTCCTAAACCATTTAGTGATTTAAAAACTAGCAATAGAACTTTAAAATCAATTATTTGGCCGACTGGAAGCCAGTGTAAAGATTTCAGAACCGGACTGATGTGATCCACTCTTTACAGATACAAACCAGTAGAACTCATAGAGAACAAACCAGTAGAACTCATAGAGAACAAACCAGTAGAACTCATAGAGAACAAACCAGTAGAACTCATCGAGAACATGAAGTAGTACTAAGCCAGTATGCGGAGTCTCTTCCTCTGACAGGAAGAAGACCTCAGACCTGATCCAGTTCCTCAGTGAGACTCAGACCTCAGACCTGATCCAGTTCCTCAGTGAGACTCAGACCTGATCCAGTTCCTCAGTGAGACTCAGACCTCAGACCTGATCCAGTTCCTCAGTGAGACTCAGACCTGATCCAGTTCCTCAGTGAGACTCAGACCTCTGTCTGATGGAGGTTTTTGTGAGACCTGCAAAGACTCACAGTATTTAAATACTTAAAGTACATGTTGATGCTAGGAATCAGGATATGACTTGTTATGGAGTACTTTAAGACATAGTATTACTACTTTCACTGAAGTACAGGATCTGAATACTTATTCCAACGCTGGTAGTACTTTAAGGCACTCAGAGTTTTTCCTCAGATATAAAACTTGGTACTTACGTAGCGAACATTACGAAGTTTTCCTCGGATGCTTTCCATCTCATTTCCCCCGCGTCTCATTGATCGTAACGACGGCAGGTTTCCAGGCGACTCGGCGGTCAGAGCGCCGCGTCGCAGATGGAAAGACGAGTCAGCGTTTCAGAGTGACTCACTCTCAGGGGAAACTGTTTATATTTATTAATCTCGCAGTTATCCTGTTTCCTGTGAAATGAAACCCAGAGGAAACCGGCTGAGCACACTGACTCAGCAAAAAGCAACTCACATTATATACAACAGATATTTAAACATCTATAGCAACGAACCTCAAATCTACAGTCAGAAAAACACGAAACTTACCCGAAAATATCTAACATGGCGTTCCTCAGGGCTGCGCTGCGGGGCCACTGGCGTTTTCCTATTATTATTAGTACTCTGGCAGAGTATAATAACAATATAAACTGAGTGTATGTGTTACTCATGTACTCTGACTGTAGTACAGAGTATAATAACAATATAAACTGAGTGTATGTGTTACTCATGTACTCTGACTGTAGTACAGAGTATAATAACAATATAAACTGAGTGTATGTGTTACTCATGTACTCTGACTGTAGTACAGAGTATAATAACAATATAAACTGAGTGTATGTGTTACTCATGTACTCTGACTGTAGTACAGAGTATCATAATAATATAAACTAAGTGTATGTGTTACTCATGTACTCTGACTGTAGTACAGAGTATAATAACAATATAAACTGAGTGTATGTGTTACTCATGTACTCTGACTGTAGTACAGAGTATAATAACAATATAAACTGAGTGTATGTGTTACTCATGTACTCTGACTGTAGTACATGAGTACAGAATAACATAATAATATAAACTGAGTGTATGTGTTACTCATGTACTCTGACTGTAGTACATGAGTACAGAATAACATAATAATATAAACTGAGTGTATGTGTTACTCATGTACTCTGACTGTAGTACAGAGTATAATAATAATATAAACTGAGTGTATGTGTTACTCATGTACTCTGACTGTAGTACAGAGTATAATAATAATATAAACTGAGTGTATGTGTTACTCATGTACTCTGACTGTAGTACAGAGTATAATAATAATATAAACTGAGTGTATGTGTTACTCATGTACTCGTGAGTTTAATAATAACAGTATTAATGATAAACTGAGTCAGAATCTATTATCGGCTCATTAGAGAGTCATGGACCTGCAGGGACCTATATCTCACCTGAGGCGGGAGGAGGGGGGGTGGTTTCTCTTCAGGATGTATGACTCAATCAGGTACAGGGCCTCTGGTTGGCTGTTCAGCCAGCCAATCAACTGCTCTCTGTGTCCTAGATGATCTGAACTCACCTGGAGCTGCCGGCTCACGGCACACCTGAACCAGAACCAGAAATTGTCCACAGGTTCACTGAAAACACCTTAAAACTATAACTGCTGTCTGTTCCAGAACCACCAGAACTACCAGAACCATCAGAACCATTAGGAACATCAGAACCATCAGGAACATCAGGACCATCAGAACCATCAGGACCATCAGAACCACCAGAACCAGAACCATGATGCTGGTCTCCCTTCTGCTCATCCTCCTGCAGGTCTGCAGTCAGCTGATGACAGCCGTTGCCATTCCGACCTGTCTGCTGAATGGTCATGTGGTCCAATCAGCTCATCACATGCTGAGAGACCTGGTGATTATTATTATTATTACATTATATATATACAATAGAATAGGAGGATGAAACCCTCTTTAATGGTCTCACATGCTGAGCACACAGCACACGTGTTCTCTGCTCTAACCCATCCTAGTACCATGAGTCTAGTACCAGGAGTCTAGTACCAGGAGTCTAGTACCAGGAGTCTAGCACCAGGAGTCTAGCACCAGGAGTCTAGTACCAGGAGTCTAGTACCAGGAGTCTAGTACCAGGAGTCTAGTACCAGGAGTCTAGTACCAGGAGTCTAGTACCATGAGTCTAGCACCAGGAGTCTAGTACCAGGAGTCTAGTACCAGGAGTCTAGCACCAGGAGTCTAGTACCAGGAGTCTAGTACCAGGAGTCTAGTACTAGGAGCAGTGGGCAGCTATTGTACAGCGCCCGGAGAGCAATGGGAGTGGGGGGGGGGGGGGGGGAACTGGGACCTCTCCAAGTAGCAGTCCACTCTCCATATTTAGGTCTGGTCGGGGACTTGAACCGGCGACCCTACAGTCCCTACTGACTGATACTTTATTTTTTAATCTGTTAAGCACCAAGCCTGTTTTTCATGTTTCAGGCTCGAAAATGACATGCCCAAAACAAATGACTACAACCTAACTTCTAAAAGGGTTATATGAATAATTTATTTTATCAAAGCAAGGTTACATCTGTGAGTTGGATGTAGAAGTGTCAGAATCAATATAAATGTTTTTTATTTTAAAGAAAATTCAGATTTTACATAGTAAAAAACTGTAAATTATAGTGTCCGTCCAAAAATTATTTTTTACAGATAGTGAAAACTACCCTTGGATGATGGGTTAGTAGACTAAAAGCTTTAGGAATCCAAAGTACAACATATAATAAGTACCCTGTATCAAGATTGATGCAAAACAAGTGACATTTGACCTTTTTAGAGAGATTAAGCCAAAACCACTCCACCTCTGAGGTGATTTGGGTGGAAATGTTTTTTTTTTCATATCTCTGGCCCCCCTTGGTCGATTTTGATGGTTGACACCTCTTTCTGACCGTTAGAGCCAATAGAATCGAAGGGGGAGGCCCACATACACACTCATTGTAAAGAGAAAAGGTGGGGGCTGCGCGCATGTAAATTGCAGGGCAGAGTGGACCGATCTCTCTCTCTGGAACTTGGAAACTAAAAAGCAGTTTTATTGCTTATGGATTATCAGAAATAATTTCAAAGAAGGCACAGATACATTGGATTAACCTATGGATTAACTGCAGCATCGTTTTTTTATCGTTTTAATGCCATTGAAGACCAGTTTTGACCAAGGTAAGCCATGTTAGCGTTTCTAGCTACTTAGCTCCACATGTTATGATGTACGCTTTAGTTTATAGCGTCGCAAATGTTTATCACTGAGTGTTGAGGTGGGCACCCACTAGATTCAGTGTCTCCAGGACACCAAAAACGAGTGGTTGGTTGTGCATCTAGGATAAGTAATAAGGGAGTTAGAGTGAGTTTAAGTGCCGTTTTAGGTTAAATGTTTTCGCTCATGGCTAATTCAGAGGCTGAGTGCTAGCATTGTGGGTTTTAAAAAATTTTTTTTTTAAAAAGATCAGTTAGCTGAGTTTCTTCCCGTTACATGGATATAAAACATTCATAGTTTATTAAATATTAAGATTCCTTAGACGTTGTTTCCTGCAAATGACGCATTTATCCACCCGGTACCGGGGGGGATGTGCGTAACGGGTTAAGTTAACACTTTATTTACATTACTTTTTAAAGTTCTGCGCAGCTAGTACTAAGTGGTTAGCTTAGCATCAGTTTTTGATAAAGTGTCTTCCTGCAGGGGGGGTCGTTTCCTGTTTCCTGTTTGCCGGTCAACATCAACATCTCCTTCCCAAGCTCCGCCCTCCCAGCTGCTGCCTCAGCCAATCCTCTTCAGGTAATACTCTCGGCCAATCACAGAGCTGCTCTCATGTCCAAATAGTTTGTTACAGAAGACTGACCTCTGATTGGTTACCTGCAGTGCCGCAAAGCATTGTGGGTGGTTTATGAGTCTCTGCAGGAGGCGGGGCTTGTATTCGAGGAGGATTTACCTGCAGGACTCACCTGGAGGGACGAGAAGCTGCAGAGATTCAGACACCTGCAGTTCAGACTGATGGAGGAGGGGGAGTGTGTGAGTACCTGTCTGTCTCTCTGTCTGTACCTGTCTGTCTGTCTGTCTGTCTGTCTCTCTGTCTGTCTGTCTGTCTGTCTGTCCGTCTGTCTGTCTGTCTGTCTGTCTGTCTGTCTCTCTGTCTGTCTCTCTGTCTGTACCTTTCCGTCTGTCTGTACCTTTCCGTCTGTCTGTCTGTACCTGTCTGTCTGTCTGTCTCTCTGACCTGTCTGTCTGTCTCTGTCTGCCTGTCTCTATGACCTGTATGTACCTGTCTGTCTCTGACCTGTCTGTCTCTGTCTGCCTGTCTCTCTGACCTGTCTGTCTCTGACCTGTCTGTCTCTGTCTGCCTGTCTCTATGACCTGTATGTACCTGTCTGTCTCTGACCTGTCTGTCTCTGTCTGCCTGTCTCTCTGACCTGTCTGTCTCTGACCTGTCTGTCTGACCTGTCTGCCTGTGTCTCTGGCCTGTCTGTCTCTGTCTGCCTGTCTCTCTGACCTATCTGTACCTGTCTGTCTCTGACCTGTCTGTCTCTCTGCAGTTGTCAGGTGTCGATGGTTCAGTCGTTTTATCTTCTTACTTCAGTAACGTGACGGCAGTTCTGGAGCAACAGGTAAACCCTTCATTATCCATATCAATATCAATATACATATATATATAAATATATATATATATATATATGTATATTTATATTTTATGTATTTCCTGTGCAGGGCAGCGCAGTCTGTGGTTGGGAGGCTCTGCGGAGGGATCTGCTCTGGGTCCTAAAGTCCGCCCTGCATCAGCACCACAACTGCTTCACCTGGGGGACAAAGACCCCGCCCACCTCGGGATGATACCCCGCCCATCTCAGGATGAGACCCCTCCCACCTCGGGATGAGTCCCCGCCCACCTCATTTATGACTTGATCTATTTATTTCAATATTTATTTCAATATTTATTTCAATATTTATTAAACACTTTTGATACACTTTCTACATATTTATTTTTTGTATTTCAAAAATAATCTTTATGGATTAAATGATGTTTGACTGTCTCAATGTTTTAATTTAATCAGATTAAAGCATTAAGAAAGAAACTCTTTGACTTCTACTCTACTTGAACACACACACACACACACACACACACACACACACACACACACACACACACAGACACAGACACACACACACACACACACACACACACACACACAGACACAAACACACACACACACACACACACACACACACACACACACACACAGACACAGACACAGACACACACATACACACACACACACACACACACACAGACAGACACAGACAGACACAGACACAGACACACACACACACACACAGAAAACACGCTGACTCAGCGTGACTCACTGAGGGTTCTGCCTGCAGCTGGAGAACCTGATGGAAGGTTATTAATAACAACCTGTCTATCAGCTCCTCACACATTGACCCACACTAAGCTAAACACAGAGCTAATATTAGCCAATGCTAAGCTATACAGAAACTGACTTTAGCTAATGCTAAGCTATACAGAAACTGACTTTAGCTAATGCTAAGCTAGTCATGTAGAATGAGAACGTGTTGCTTTCACTTTCAGTTCAGACTTGAGTCAGAACAGCTGATCCATGACGATAGAACCAAACCTTCATGATAGAACCACACCTTCATGATAGCACCACACCTTCATCATAGAACCACACCTTTGTTATGGCAGAATGTTTAATACAGCGTATTTATGATATTTATTAGAGATCACATGCTAAGCTATATGATGTGTGTTACTGAGTTGGGTCACACACAGTTAGAGAGACAATGGTCGTTCTGAATTATCAATAGATGTATTCATTTTAAGTGAGCTGACACCGAGGGTATAGGAAGTTCAGAGAAGAGGTTATAAAAACAGTTAACCTTTGTTAGTTAACTAATCCTAAAGATATCATGAGATGATGACGTTTAAACATATACAGGTATAGCTTTCAGAGAGAAACACATGTGACATTTGTGTGGTTGGCTGCATGATACAATGTGTGTGTGTTAAACATGTTTGGGGAACATGTTCGTGTGTCATTTAGAAAAGTATATCTAGCCCTGTGTTTCTTCTGTTCTTGGGGGGCATTTCCGCGATTGGCTGCTGTGGCAGCAGGTGATGTACTTCCCATTATTGTTTGTTTGTTGCAACAACTAAATAATAATTACTGATCAGCTATATCTGTGTTTGTGTTTTATTGATTCCTCTCTGTTTCATTCTTTCCTGTTGTGTTATGCTGGATCTCCACAACATTTTGGAGGTCCCACCGAGATTGCCAATGCTGGAGGTTGCTGTGTTCCTTCTCTGGAGGTCTCAACTCACCCTGATCAGGCAGCTACATAGAAAGCTGTGGTAAAATCTCAAGGAATTGAGAAACCAGACTTGAGACTTCCACAGAAGAAATGCCGACTCACAGTAAGCAAAACGTATTTGGAATGAAATGACTTTTGAAGTTGTATTGGTTAAGAGGAAAGAGCAGAGGAGAGTGGATTTGGGATTTAAGGCATAGGTATAGCTGAAATCTGTTTGATGGTTGTCATTGTTGATTCGTAAAGGTCTTGTTTTATGTTGATAAATGTTTATACTGGAGAGATCACTGTATCTGACCTCGTAATCTGCCTGAGAAGCTAAGGGTTTGATTGAGGGGATATGATCTTTGCTAGCCGTAAGGACATGTTATGCTGGAGGAATCACTGTATCTGACCTCGTAGTCGTGAATTCTGCCTAGGAACATCCTAATGATTGTCTTAAGGTTCAGATATTCATTTGGCTGAGGGGATATGATTTGCTTTGCGAGCCAAGTGCACATCCGGTCCGTTCGGTAATTAAGAGATTAATAAGCCTGATCTGAGTTCAGGGAGTTAAAAGTATAAAACTTGCCTGGCGACTCTGTGAATTCACGACATACAAAAGTGGAGTTTTCCATGTTTTGTCAGGCCGTAATATAATGTAGAGCCTGTGATAAAGCGCTAAATGTTTTGGTATACCATAGTTTGTTGTTAATGGTCTAAGAAGCCCCCTTCTCCTGAAAAGGCTGAGAGCTCCAGCCGGGGTGTGTCTGTATTTGTCTGTGAAAGTATTTCCCCCTCTTTCCGATTCTGTAAAAGAGGAGACCCTTTGTTTTATCAGCCGTGAGAGCAGCAGTGTGTCTGTTTGCTCTTTTCTCTGATGCCTGAAAAAAGGAGTGAGTTTAAAAAAGGAGTGAAAGATCAATGAGTGATCTGAAGTTGGAGTGAATACATTGAAAATTAATAGATCAATGTGTGATTGGATGCAGTAGATATATTGAAATAAATAAGAAACAATAATTTGTTGTTTTTAGCATAGTTTTTGTAGGATACAGTTACGTCACATTGTGGTTTTTATGAGAAGTTTTGAGAACTGATTGTTACCATTGCATTGCATTGTGAATGTCATGGTATTTGTCATTAACTAAGAATTGTACTTAATTATATTTCATACAGTAACATTAAGGGAAAGTAAAAAGAGATTTACTGAGTATATGAAGTAGCTATATTGAAATAAAAAGATTTAGTTTTATTTTCACCTAGAATTAAGATGTTTTAAAGAGTCTAGAGAGAGTCAAAGTTATATAAAGTTAACTACTATTCTGGAAAATGTTCCTAGGGTTTACTGTTTTATGAGTAACATAAAATAAAAATATATGTATTTACTAGATATAAGAACAACATGCTTATCTAGGTTAACAGAAAGTTGCTATTAACCAGTTTCAGCTGCAACTATCCTATCTTTGTTCTAAAGAGAACATACGTTGAATTTACAATTAATGTTAAGAAAGTTCATAATTGATATCATTAAAGACCGTTTTGGATTAATGGATTGTTCTTTAGGCCCAGAGATATTTTTTCTTGGAATATATATTGCGTGTCTGTCATAAACATTCATGCTTAGATGGAATAAAGTGTTGAGATGTTCTCAAAGTGGGAGTTTTCACAATGCCTTTTTTGTTTTTATTGAAACAATTAAGTGATAAAGAAAACTGTTCCGTGATGATTTCTTTAGGTTTTAGCTTTAGTAATGAAGATTACATTTTGTGAGGAAACCACCAATAATTCCTTTAAGTGTTCCAAAAATATATTCATTAACTGTAATCAGATTACTTGTTTTTCAAATATAGCGCTGAATACAGTTAGTTTTGTATTCTGTTACAAACCTAACCATGCTTGTAACACAACTTGGATAAACAATTAGAAAAAGAATAGAATAAGCAAGTAGATAAAAGATTAATCTATAGTGGTTCAGGAGGGTTTCCTTGTTTTGCTCATTGACTTAGAACTGAAGTTAAGGAGAATAGTGTTTTATGAAAACTGTCATTCCTCATGGTTTTAAAGATAAATCATCAGTTTGTATGGACTTTGATGTTGAAATGCATCATGGTGGAGAAGGAATACCTTTTTGGTTTCGAATTTAAGAAGATTTTAAAGATGATGTTTATTTTATTTTCCTGACTAGAATTTAAAAGCAGGACCTTAACAAAAGAGATTTTACAATGTAGTTGTACTACTTTTGATGAAGTAAAGAATCTGGGTAAACTACCACCGTTAGTTTGTTTTAACATTCACATGTTTCAGCATTCCTGACCATGTGGACACTCAGCCATTTCATTTTGTAACCCGTTGGGGGAGAGATTTAAATTGAGTTTTTCTCTAGTAGCTGATTGGCTGTGATTACAGCAGCATTGGATAGTTATGCGCCACCTTTGGGTTGTACTCTGAATCAGTGTGTTGGTGAGATGTTGCTCACTACAGAAACAGAAGAAGTGTGCAAAGAACGCATCTCTGAGGAGGTTTTGACATTTTGCTTGTGCCTCGTTGTCAAGGCAACAGTGGTGTGAAGAGGAACTGCAATTTTTGGGGATTTCTACTGTGCAGAGGACAACGTGTGTCTGCTGATTGTAACACATTGATCCAAGAGGTTCCTCCCCTCCAGACATCCCAATGCCAAAAAGAGGTACCTTGATCCCACTGACTACAGCTGCAGAGGACAACGAATCACTGACTGTTCTCATTTTAACAAGATCTTGAGACAGGCTTGTCTCAGACTGTTCAGACTCTGAAGAAATCATGCAATGATTTTACAGCATAACTGTGCAAGAGTTTTCCAGAGGGTGGTGCAGAACATTATGTTTAGTGTTTAAGAAAAGAGGCTGCTTGTTTAACGATGGTCTGGAATACTGAAAATATTAATACTATTAATATCCTTTATTTTGCATACAAGACATCTGATTATTTTATCACACAGAATCATCTTGACATATAAACTAGCTATGGGTAAAATGTGTGGTTGTTATACCATTGTTATCATGAACTAAACATAAATAAGGAAATAGTATCTGGTTAAAGATGAACGGATTTGATATCCTAGAGAGGGTTAGTTATATTGTGAATACTTCACAAAGTATTTACTAATGTGTTTTGAAGAACAAATAAGAAAAACACGAGTCCAATTTTGTTTTGTTTTTAGATTAAATTGTCCATTCCCAAAACTGTTCACCTTAGGTCTAGCTTTAGACTTTGATAGTAAAGGAGTATTTAGGCTTATTTTTATATATCTGACATTTTTTAAACATGTTGGCTATTTCCTAGATGGAGAGATGGCATTACTCTCCAATTGTTAAGAACATTTCTGAAGATTTAATATTTGTTCCATTTCTAATATTCCTATTTAAAACGTAATTTTAGAAACGAAGGCTCATGCTGAACTTGGAAAACATGTGTTTGCATGTCGTAAACAAAGAGGCTTTGTTTGTTCAATCACCAGTTAAATCTCATACAGTAATAATGATTGATTTGGCTAAAGCTTAGTTTAACATCCTGATGTAACATTATGGGATATGTTCACTTCTAAGGGTAAACAAATTGATTAAAATAGGATTATTGTTATTATTATTGATTAATTTGGAATATTAATTAAAA